GCCTGCCCCTACTTTAATACCTAAACATTAGCCTCTCATAGTTATTGATCTTAAAGATTTTTTTACTATTACTTTACATAAATCAGATTGTGACGAATTTGCCTTTACTGTACCATCTCTCAATAGTCAGGAGCCTGCAGGTCGTTGTCAATGGGAAGTGCTTCCTCAGGGCATGCCGAAGAGCCCACCATCTAACAGCTTTATGTTGGACAGGTGCTTTCACCAGCGTGAGCTCCATTTCCCCAGGCCTCTATTCTTCATTATATGGATGATATCTTAATTGCTGCCCCCACTGATGAAGAATTAATAGACTGTTATCAAATTTTAAGCCGCCCTGTTACAGAGGCTGGATTACACATCGTTCAGGATAAAATCCAACAGACCACTCCTGTTCAACATTTAGGAATGGTGGTTGATAAACAACGTATTCTGAGTTGATAAACAACTCAGAAAGTTCAAATTAGGAGAAATTCTTTGAAAACTTTAAATGACTACCAAAAACTTCGGGGTAACATTATTTAAGACCTACTTCAGGCATTCCAACATATGCGCTAACTTGTTTTCTGTGCTGTGTGGAGATTCCAATCTCCGTGGTCCCAGCACTTTGACCCGAGGCTTCACTAGAACTGGAATTCGTAGAGGAAAGAATCCAGACTGCCCAGTTATCTAGAGTACAGCCATCTCGCCTTTTCAGCTTCTGGTTTTCGCTTCATTATACTCCCCTACTGGGCTAATAGTTCAACATAATGATTTAGTACAGTGGTGTTTTCTTCCTTATTCTGTGTCACAAACTTTATCTGTTTATCTGGACCACATGGCCAGTCTAATTGGACAAGCTCGGTGTAGAATACTTAAAATTTCCAGATTTGATCTGAATTTAATTATAGTTCCTTTAAATCAGCTAGAAGTTCAAGCCATTTGTCAACATTCCATATTGTGGCAAATTCACTTGACTGATTTTATTGGCGTTATTGACAATCATTATCCAAAAAACAAACTGATTTTATAAAAATGACATCTTGGGTGGTCCCTTGATTGACCAAAGATCAGCCCACTCCTGAGGCTGTTACACTGTTCACTGATGGCTCCAGTAATGGAAATGCTGGTTATGTGGGTCCTACAGACAAGCTTATTTCTACCCCTTATACCTCTGCTCAAAAGGCAGAGTTAATTCCTATAATCAGTGCCTTACAGATTTCCCCAAACCTTTAAATATTGTCTCTGATTCTGCTTAACGTGGGAAAGAGGACATGCTTTGTTTCACCAGATCATCAGTCCCCTTCCTGGGTGCCCACTAAAAGACTTAAACTTCATGTGAATGAAACCACAGGGAAAAGATGTCCGTGTCAGAGACCGCCCTCAGACGTGGTGAGATCTGTGCCAAGTCCTCAGAAGCAGGCACACCAAATCAAAATGGGTCTGGTTCAATCCTCCCTCATGGCAACGGAGACCCATCTAACTCATCCCACTTCTCCTAATTACCTTTCTTTTTCTCCTTACAAACCTAAAAATCTCACCATTTATATTAGCCTGAAAAGAACATCCCTCTGTGCTCTTCTCTTCCTCCTTCAGCACTCAATCTTGCTTACAATAGGTTTTATTTAATGATTCTCCTTCTTATACTTTCTGTCTCACCAGTTTCCTCTCACACTGATTTATCTGCTACACAAAATTATTCTTACTGGGCTTATGTGCCTTTCCCTCCACTTATTCAACCTCTCACCTGGATGGATGCTCCTGCAGAAATCTACACTAACGATAGTGCGTGGATGCCTGGAGCTACAGACAACGGTTGCCCCACTCAACCAGGAGAAGGCACTGAATTTAATGTTACCATGGGTTACAAATACCGCCTCAGGGCCTCGGACATGCACCATCTAGAAACTCAAGTCTGGGCTGCTTATCTTCCGGAGAGATCAGCTACAGAGGAACTGGGACATTGGTCTCTGGCCTCTCCCCTTCTCCTTTAAGACAAATGAAAGGGGAAGTAACGGGAGCTACCCCAACTTTCAGTATAAACCTGCAGGAAAACCATGTTCTAAACATTTTGAAGGCCCATCTAAAACTTTAATTTGGGAAGACTGTGTTAACTCACATGCAGTAATATTAAAAATGACTCATATGGTTTAGTAACAGACTGGGCACCAAAGGGCTATTTAAAAAACCATTGCTCCTCTGGCAGAAGGGAATGCCTGGAGGCTGCTTATTTTATTTCTTATCGGGAGAACGAGAATCATCCTTCTACTTTGCATAGGAGGTTCAGCTCATTCTTTCCCTTAAAATGGGAAGATAAAGGCATTATCCCCCCAGGCTTCACATGATATTCCCCATTCTGAGCCCAGAACTTTGGAAATTGGCTATTGCCATGTCTGGACTGTGAGTACGGGAAGGGGAAACTCTTCTGTCTGTTGTCCCCACTATCGTCTGCCTCCCTCCGTATCAGTGTGGATTCAGACATTCTGCTTTGCTGACCTCCAACCTGACTGTTCCCATACAGAGCTGTGTTAAGCCTCCTTACATGCTGTTAGTGGGAAATATCAGAATTTGGACGAACAAACCGTCCAATGCATTAATTGTCATTTATACACTTGCATTAACTCCCGTTTTGACGCCAGGAAAAGTGTAATGTTGGTTCGAGCTCGAGAAGGAATCTGGATTCCGGTAACTTTGCCCAGACCTTGGGAATCTTCCTCCTCGATACGTTTAATTAATGAAGTGTTACAGCAAATTCTAAAAAGATCTAAGAGGTTTGTTTTCACTTTAATCGCTGTGATCATGGACCTAATTACAGTCACTGCACTGGCCACCACTGCTTGAATGGTGTTACGTCAATCTATTCAAACAGCTCATTTTGTTAATGACTGGCAAGCCAATTCCACCCAAATGTAGAATTCTCAACAAGGCACTGATCAAAAATTGGCTAATCAAATTAATGATTTAAGGCAGTCTGTTATGTGGCTTGGAGATCAGGCAGTGAGTCTCGAACACCGCACGCAAACGCAGTGTGACTGGAACACCTCTGGAGCCCAGCTGTAAAATTTCTCTCTTTGTACTCTTTGTTTCTCAGACCAGCCGACACTTACGGAAAATAGAAAAGAACCTATGTTGAAATATTGGGGGCTGGTTCCCCCAATAATAAAGTCTTTGAAAACTGTGTCCCATAGGAAGAGGACCAGTTTTTCCTTGGAACAAGAGATACGGCAGACTACAGGGTACGATGCAGATTGGCCAACAGGTAGGTAGGTAGATAGATCTGGTGGTAGGAAGATGAAGAAAGAAATTCTGTTATTAACCAGCTTCTATTTTCATAGTTTAAAAAAAAAGAAAAATTTAAAAAAATCAGATAAGAACAAGGAAAGAGAGATGGGATACTAAAAGTGCAAGGAAAACAAGGTTGTGAGCTACTTCAGAGAGCAGGAGAGAGAATTCCTGAGAATTCCTGAGCAGAGCTGCTGGAGGTGCTGAGCACCACACGAGGTTTGTAAACACATATTTGAAGTGTGATCAGTTAGCATGGGGATATATTTTTCTCCAGCCACACGGGGTTACTCACGTTCAGGTGAAGAGAAGGTAAACAGAATAACCAGGGCTGGGATTTTTCCAGAGTACTGAGGAGAAAAAGGCAAGGGAGATAGATGAGGGCATCCATTATAGAGTGGAGCAGTGGACCTCATGGATGGAATCTAAGCTAGTTAAGAATGAGATGAATCTAAATCCACAACATTTTTATTTAATAGCAATTCACAAACCCTTTTGCTCTCAATTAAAAAGTATTAATATTTTAGAAGTTTAATTTTTCAACATCTTGCCAACTGTGACAGCTTCTTCAGATCACTAAATGTCACCAACATTCACCTTGTTACACAGGCCGAAAGTCTGATGGCCTGTGACTTGATGACTTTTTCATACTCAGTACAACAGCAAAAGCTGTTCTCCTTTGACAATATACTCTGAACCTAACTACTTCTCAGCACCTCTACCACTACTACCCCAGGGCTTGTGCTTGGACCTTTCCATTGCTCATCCCTTGTTATCTATTTTTTCAATCAGAAGCCAAAGAACTTCAAATTTAAATCAGATGAAGCCCTTCCTTTCAACCATTCAACGCCTCTTGGTCACACTTGGAAGAAAAACCCACGTCCTGACCACGGCCGGTAAGATCCTACACGACCCAGCTCCTGGGTTTCCCTCTGATCCACTCTCCACCTCTCTGCCCTGCCCAGCCACACTGGCCTCTGTCACACTCTTCCGTCTTGCCAAGCACACTAGCGTCTCAGGACCTTTGTGCCTGCTCTCCCTGGAAAAGCCTCTCCTCAAAAGGTTCATGCAATTTGCTCTCATTTCATTCAGATCTTGGTTCATATGTCAATTCCTCACAGAAACCTTCCCTGACCATCTATCTAAAAACACTGACATGCCAACACCTTTCCTCCTTTCTCGGCTTCACTTTTCTTCAAAGCACTTTTCAATACCTCCTATTACAATCCTATTTTCTGTCTTCCCCACAAGAATGTAATCTCCCTGAGGAATTTTCTGTTTCAGTCACCACTGTGTCCCACGTGCCTGCAATAACGCATTTAACATACGGTAAGTATCAATAAATATTCATTCAATAAATGAGTCCTTTTTATTCTTTTTGTGCATTTAAAAATATATTTGCCCAGTAATATAAGAATATAATTCATAAATAAAAAATATACCAGGGATACACACTGAAGGGGCAGACAGTAAAAAGGAAAGAAAATTCTGATAATCACGGATGTAACCAATCAACAAGCCAGTACACATGCCCTAAGGATAGGGTCATAGAGAGCCTGTCGATCTCTCTCTCAGGAGACTTTGGTAATCTCCATTTGCTCCTCGCAAGAAGAAAAAACTCCCCATATGGGGTTAAGGCCTTCAACCAACAATTCTGTCCTCTGCCCTTATGTTCCTCCGGAATATTTTGCTAGAAATGAATGGATTGTTTGTTCTGATACAAAGAAGGGTTGATTACTTACTGGTCCTACGCAATTGAGGACAACTGTTGCCTGTTTAGCCATTTCATCAAGCGAGGCTGGATTAGCGATATCACAAATGATGATTCCAACTTCAGACGACAGTGTTGGTCTTCCTAAAATAAGAAACAAATGAAGTAAAGAAAATTCTGGTAGAGGATTACATCTTCCTTGTCTTCTTTTTATAGTAATCAGTGACTAGCAAATTACTAAATACACTGATATACTGAAAGCTAGCTCTCCCGTTTAGACAAAAGATAAAACTGTTTTTAATCAGGTAATAAAAAAGGAAAAGGTTATGAGGAAAACTGAGTTAATACTTTAAGTATTACTAAAAACCTGACCTTTAAAAAAAAAATCTAATAAAAGCGTTGTATAAATAACAACCCTGTGTAACATGACAATTTCACGATCAAGTTTAAATGCTGACCAGATAACTATCCAGACTTCCTCTCCAACAAGAAATTTATGTCATAAAAATAGTTTTTTGGCCAGGGGCAGCGGCTCAGCACTTTGGGAGGCCAAGGCACAAGGACTTCTCGAGCTTAGGAATTCCAGACCAGCTTGGGCAACACAGCAAGACCTTGTCACTACTAAAAAAAAAAAAAAAAAAAAAAGCCGGGCGCGGTGGCTCACGCCTGTAATCCCAGCACTTTGGGAGGCCGAGGCGGGCGGATCACGAGGTCAGGAGATCGAGACCATCCTGGCTAACACGGTGAAACCCCGTCTCTACTAAAAATGCAAAAAATTAGGGGGGCATGGCGGCAGGCGCCTGTAGTCCCAGCTACTCAGGAGGCTGAGGGGAGAGAATGGCGTGAACGCAGGAGGTGGAGCTTGCAGTGAGCCAAGATCGCGCCACCGCACTCCAGCCTGGGCGACAGGCGAGACCCTGTCTCAAAAAAAAAAAAATTATCTGACATGGCTGGCATATGAAAATAGATTAGAAACAAAAACCTTTAAATTTATAGACTTAGAAGCTCAGAGACTTAGAGACTTAGAAACTTAGAAGTTTAGAAAAGCCACAGGTGGCTATCTAAAAACACCCACCCAACGACAATTGGCCATCTAGCTTCGCCTGATATCGTGTGGCTATCTAAAACACCCACCCATATTCCTGGAACTCAAACAGAAGAACAAGTCGAAATGCAGCGAGTTCAAACCAGGTTCAAACCAACCCAATTAAAGTAAGACATCTCGCTCAGGCCATAACTAACCAATCATCTTGCGCCTCAAGCTTTTAGCAAAATTTTTGTGGTTTTGCCTTTATAAACTGTCTACCAACAAGAAGCGGTAGAGTCCTGTAGCCAACCGGACATAGGACCTAAGCCTTCATAACAATAAATCTCTCACTTTGACTTCCGTGTGAGTGGTCTCGGCGTAGCGACCCCTGCCCAGGAAGGAATCCCAAAAACTAGGTTCCTACATTTGAGTGCGTTGGCCGGGAATGGGAGTCGCCCGAGGACCCGCAGCCCCCTCAGTGGAGGCCTGGTGGCCCGGGCCACCGACGCTGCTGGCAGACCAGACGGACTCTTGTCAGGTACTTTCGTTTCGCTCCTGTGCTCATTTGTCTTGCCAGGCTAGCTCTGAGGAGTACTCCGTCTGAATAATCAAGTGGGGAAGGGGGCAGACGTGTCCGGCGCACCTTCCCCTTGCGCCCCAGGGGACGCCCTGGTGGTTGTCGGGAGAAAGCTGACGACTCTGTTGGCCTCCTCAAATCGTAGGCAGAGTTACGCCTGCCGTCTGAATCTTTTGTAATCTTGTGGCGCCACTCTCTGGCCGCGCGGCTCCTCTGTGTTTGTTTGGTCACTGTGTATATTGTTGTCCATTTTAAAATCCTTGTGTATGCGTGACTTTCTGGAGCGAAACTATAGGACAGACACTATGCCGCTCTTTAGCCTTGACTTTGGCCCGCCCTGACGTCCGGGCGCGAGCCCACGATCTCTCCGTGGAAGTCCGTAGAGACGATGGCAAACTTCTCAGCGCCGTCTGAATGGCCAGCCCTCCAGGTTGGGTGGCTCCCAGGCCAGACATTTGACCTCTCCATTATCTTACAGGTTAAAGCAAAAGTGATGAATCTGGGCCACAAGGACACAGGACCAAGTGGCCCTACACTTAATCCCTACGGAAGATTTGAGTCAGGAAACCCCTTCCTGGTGAAGCCCTTCTTCATTCCCCTCCCCGTCCCAATCTACCCTCCCTGATGGAGACTCAGCCACCTTCGCTTCACCTAAAATCATACTATCCCCCAATCCCTCCCACTACTCCCTCGGCCCCTACTCTTTCTCCAGCCCCTTCTTGGTCCCTTCCTCGACCTACTTCCTCCCTCTCTCAACCCACTTAAATTAACCCCTAGACGCCGCCACCGTCCACGTCCTCCGCTCGCTCCACGTGTCAGGGGGCAGGCTCCCCGCCCGCAGCCACAGCAGCTACTTGGCCATTCCCGGGGTTGCGTGCCTCCAGCGGTAAAGGCGAGGTCGGCGGAGGGTTGCGCCAGTGAAAAAAGAGTCGGGAGGCCCGACCGCCTCTCCGCCTCCTCCCTCCGCGTTCCAGCGCCGCCACCAACACCTCGTCTCCGGCCACGCAGGACTCAAGACCCGGATGGCCTCCCCACCTAGCAGTCTTCCCTTTTCCCCCTTAGCAGTCCCAACCGCGCAATCCAGTACTGGCCCTTTTCTGCCTCCGACCTCTACAATTGGAAAACTCCCCAACCCCCTTTTCCCAAGACCCTCAGGCCTTAACCTCATTGATAGAATCCATTCTCCTCACCCACCAGCCTACCTGGGATGATTGTCAACAGCTTTTGCAGGTCCTTCTGACCACCGAAAAAGGCAACAAGTCCTCCTGGAGGCCGGAAAAATGTGCCGAGACCAGGGGCCTTCCAGCCCAGCTCCCCAGCGAAATGAGCCGAGGGATTTCCCCTCACCCGCCCAGACTGGGATTATGAGACAGCACCAGGTAGGAGAGTCTCGAATCTATCACCAGGCTCTTTGGCGGGTCTCAAGGGGAGCAAAGAAACCCCGCAATTTGGCCAAGGTAAGGACCATAATTCAGGGGAAAGAATGAAAACCCGGCCTTTATGGAAAGACTTCTAGAAGGGTTCGAATGTTTACCCATTTAATCCAGAGGCTCTAGAACATAAGGCTGCCGTGGCCATGTCGTTCATAGACCAAGCAGCACTAAATATTAGAGGGAAACTCCAAAGATTAGATGAGATCAGACCTATAGATTACAGAATTGATCAGAAAAGACAAAAGTGTATGGCAAGAAAAAAAAAAAAAAAAAAAAAAAACTCCCAAGAAAGAAGGCCAGGCTAGCGAAGGAACCAGAGGAGCAGAGAGGATCAAAGAGATAAAGAGAGATAGAAGTATTTAACAAAAGATCCTGGCGCCCAGTAGTAACGGAGAAAAGGCCAGGGAGACAGGGGAAAAAGCGGAGGCGGCCTAAAGTAGATAAGGACCAGTGTGCCTACCAGGCATTTACTTCAGGAGCTGAGTGCCTTACAACTTGCTCAGCACCTTAATTAAAAAGATGCATTCTTTTGTCTACCCTTGGCCCCCAAAGCCAAGAACTCTTTGCCTTTGAGTAAAAGATCTGAAAAAAGAATTTGGGCCAGTCCCGGCCTGGACCCGGCTTTAAGGGTTCAGAACTCTCACTCACTTTGTAGGGCTCTCCACGGGACCTAACTGACTTCCGGACCCAGCATCCAGAAGTGACCTTGCTCCAGTATGTAAATGACCTCCTCCTGTGGCCCCACAAAGGAAGCCTGCATGCAAGGTACTAGGCATCTACTCCAGGAACTGGGTGAAAAAAAAATGCCGGGCATCCATGGGAAAGGCACAAATTTGTCAGACCAGGAAGACCAACCTACCTGGGTACATACTGAGTGAGGGGAAAAGGTGGCTCACCCCTAGTAGCCCATAGAGACTGTGGCTGGCATTCCACCGCTTGGAATCCCAGAGAGGTGCGTGAATTCCTAGAACTGCTGAGTTCTGTATCGCTTGTGGATACAGTTTTTAACTGAACTGACCGCCCCCTTTATACCCTCACCAGGAAACACCCTTTTACCTGGCAGGAGGAACATCAATTGGCTTTTGAGACTCTAAAGCCTCCTGCCCAGCCCTTAGGTTACCGGATACCTCAAAACCTTTCACCCTCTTCTTAGATGAGAGGCAAGGAATTGCAAAAGGAGTCTTAACCCAGAAATTAAGGCCCTGGAAGAGACCGGTGGCGTATCTGTCTAAAAGCTGAATCCTGTAGCGGCGGTTGGCCCCGTGTCTCCGCATCATGGCAGCCACTGCCATGTTAGTCAAAGACACTGCTAAGTTAACCCTTAGGCAGCCATTGACTGTTATTACTCCATGCTCTAGAGGCCATGGTGCGACAGCCCCGGACGGTGGATTACCAGTACACGCTTGACCTACAGGCCCTCCTGTTGGACACAAACCGCAGCCGGTTTGGCCCCTCCAGTCACCCTGAACCCTGCAAGCGCTGCTGCCACCAGAAGACCAACTGAGCCCTCACGACTGTCGGCAGGTGTTGGCAGGAAACCTGAGCAGGGGAGGACCTCAAGGAGACCAGAACTCCCAGGCGGACCCACACACTTGGTATACAGACGCGCGCTATGCCCGGCTCAGGTACCCGGAGGCGGGAGGCTGATGGTAGATGCCACACCACCATTTAGGCACAGTCCACTGCCCCTGGCACATCTGCACAAAGGCCCAGGCTAATATATAACAAGGCCCTAGAGCTGTCCAAGGGGAAAAGGCTAATATTTATACAGATAGCCGATATGCTTTCTGTGACTCATACCCATGGAAATATTTATAAAAAAAGAGGTCTCTAACATCAGAAGGAAAGAAATCAAGAACAAAGCTGAAATAATTGCCTTATTAAGCCTCTTCCTCCACAGTAGCCATAATCCACTGTCCCGGACATCAGAAAGGACAGGATCCAGTTGCAGTAGGAAACAGACAGGCAGACACGTGGCCAAACTGAGCAGCCATGGCAAAAGTACTAACCTTAGCCTCAGAACCCAACAAAACCGACCAGGATAGACACCTACACCCCAGAAGACCAGGAAAGGCAAGAGCCATAGGAGCTATAAAAACAAAAGGAC